CATGAGTTTAAAAATAGAGATGTGATGCAATATATCGGGAAAATGTCATTTTTTGTACTTTTTTCTAAATTTTTGGATGAATAATTGCTCACAATATGTTTTTTTTTACTGCTATTGGCATATAGTGACAAACAAGTAAAAGAAAGAATTATATCAAATACAGAATAAGAAGCAGAGGTTTCCATTTCTATTTATAGTAACATGTGTTTAAAAATAGACATACTGTAAACTATCGGGAAAATGTCATTTTTGTACTTTTTTTTCTAAAATTTTGGATGAAAAATTGCTGACTATCTCTTTTTAACTGCTATTGGCATATGGTGACCAACAAGTAAAAGAAAGCTTTATATCAAATACAGAATAAGAAGCAGAGGTTTCCATTTCTATTTATAGTAACATGAGTTTAAAAATAGACATACTGTAAACTATCGGGAAAATGTTTTTTTTTTCTACTTTTTTTCTCACATTTTGGATGAGCAATTGTAGACAATATGTTTTTTTACTGCTATTGGCATATAGTGACCAACAAGTAAAAGAAATCAAATATGAAATACAGAATGAGAAGCAGAGGTTTCTATTTCTATTTATAGTAACATATGTTTGAAAATAGACATGCTGCAAATTGTAGACTTTCGCACTTTTTTCAAACATCAGGGATGGTCAACGTGCAGACAAACGGCTTTTATTTGTTATTGACAGAATGTGACTAACGAGTATGAAAAAGCTTTAGCTAAAGTGTATAAGAATACTGTTTAAGGGTATTTTTACATTTCTGCCTATAGTAACACATATTTATAAATAATCTGGAAAATTCTCATTCGTTTTTCTCAAATTGGGGAAGGAAATTTGCAGTCAAACTTTCATTAGCTGTAACTGACATGGCTAATTGTATTCGGCGCGCCAGCGCGTCCACCTCATTCCAATACATGTATCACAAAAGTATGTTCTCCCTGCATTAAAACACTCACATGACAGAGATTTTCTTTATAAATTAAGCATTATCTTTAAATTCAGGTCGACAGCCCGAGTCCGATTGAATTTTTTTGGTTAGGTGGATCCAGAAAATTTTCCCTAGCAGGCAGTGGTTCAAATTACTATGTCTGTTTAAACTAAAACTGTCCAAACTGGACTAAATACCCCCGCTGGGTATTTCAGAGGTGCTAAATCATGAATATTTAATGGACCTACGAGAAGAGAGAAACATTTTTAATGCAAATGTAATTGCTCATAATATTTTCATAAATGAAACGAAGGTGCATCCGAATAAAAAAAAACAGACTAAATATACAGACCAGACACGAATTATGAACATTTTCTGTCAGTGACCTTGACCTAGCATTAATGACCTTGGATCAAACTCATGAGAGAAAATCCGGTAATAAGCAATGTTTGTGTGAAGTGGTAGATTCAGGTTTAGCCATAAAAAAGATATGGACTAGACACAAATACAATGTAATAAAAATTTTTCTTCAAGTGACCTTTTTCTTCCCCAAATGACTTTGCGTCAAATTTTTCTTCAGTGACCTTGAACTTCCCAAAATGACCTTGGTTCAAGGTCATGACACACCCTTAAGTCATGGGCAGTCTTTGTGTGAAATGAGAATATACCAAGTTTATCCATAAGAAAGATATGTACTGGACAGGAATTATGAAATTTTTTCAGTGACCTTGAACTTCACTTAATGACCTTGGCTTAAAGTCATGACACAATCTTAGGTCATGGACAATCTTTGTGTGAAATAAGAACATACCAAGTCTATCCATAAAAAAGATATGGATTTTATATATATATATTTATTTTACGTATAAACATACATGTAGGTGTTGGAACCGCGGAGTGGGGGGTGGGGATGGGGGGTTGGGGGTTCAAAGATAGACATCATATAGTTAATAAATATTGGGGAGTAGATTTACGCCCCCCACCCCCCAGCAGGCATATTGCAGTGTAGTCGAATAAGGGTAAGTGGTAGTTTGAAAGAAAAAAATGGTACTGAAAGAAGTTCGATCCCCCTCCCATGAAATAGGATTTCATGTTTGGACCCCTTCTTCACTTTTAATATGCTTTCGACACGAATCTAACAAATTAAACATTCACCAGTATTTTGTTATGACCCTAGATGATTGATTGATTGTATACTGTTTAACGTCCCTTTCCAGAATATTTCACTGATATGGAGACGTCACCATTGCCAGTGAAGGGCTGCACATTTAGGCCTTTGCTTGGCACTTACAGCCTTTGAGCAGGGAGGGATCTTTATTGTACCACACCTGCTGTGACACGGGGCATCAGTTTATACGGTCTAATCCGAAAGACCGCCCCATTTAGTCGCCTTTTACGACAAGCAAAGGGGTACTGAGGACCTATTATAACCCAGATCCCCGCGGGATGCCTAGAATTTTATCTCCTTTTTAAAGACTTGAATTTCGTGGCAATAAGCTGTCATACTTTGGTATCTGTGTTTGAAAAAGATTCCTTGTAACGTTTTAAAATACTACTACTACTACTAAAAATTAACTTGTCTTTATGAGAGGATCGGGAGTAACTTTAGTTACAGAAATGGCTTTGCTATAAATAGGCGTTTAAACAAACTAATATTGGTCAGAAATATAAATTATTAGCTTAGTGAAAAATCGAACAGAGAAAAGGTATTATTCCTTCATGCAAGGATACTTTGCGGCAAGTTAAATTGAAATTAACCCTTACAGAAAAAACTAATAGAAACTTATAAGTGTTTTATAATCCACTTATTAGTAACTTACAAGTCACTTATAAATTTTGAAATTTACTTATAAGTGTACTATAAGTCAAAGTAAGTATAAGTGAGGAATGGATTTCGTTAATACTTCACTTATAAGTAAAGATGAGGTACATATCAGTGGATATTTCACTTATAAGTGAAGATCAGTATGGTATGAGCGAAGTATAAGTGTGGACTTAGAATTTTTACCCTATACTAGACTTCTCTCAAGGAGCACTATGGGTATTCAAGGTAGCCAATCAGAAAGTTTGTCTCTGCACAGATCAGCAACAAGAATTTGAAACCAAGTTTGTGTCTGTGAAAGGATGTTGGAGATTTTAGATTTATTTTGAGTATACCTTCACATCAGGTACAACAAGTAGGTTCTATTTACATCATCTCTCTATTTTAACTTCCTTTGCATGAAATTTTGAATCAATTGACTCAGTTGCTTTCAGATTTCATAAATTTGAAGAAGCCTCAAGGTCATTAAATCTTGTTGCCTTTTTGTTCAACATTCTTGTTTGTAAACTGAATTAATATGTTAAGCTTGCATCATCAAAGAAATTTCATATGAAATTGATTTTTTTCCATACAATTTTTACTTGATTATTTCATCTAATGTACAGATTCATGTTTATATTTAAAAAATAGCTTTGAACATATCATGCAACCCCTGCATGGTTGGAAGTTCTGTTCTAAATTAAGATCTTACAGGTAGTGTTGTACTTCACTTATAAGTCACTTATAGTCACTTATAAGTGACTAATACTTGATAAAGTATGAAGGGTTAATGCTTGACTTATAAGTCACTTATAGTCACTTATAAGTGACTATACTGTATAAAGCATAAATGGTTAATACTGGCTTATAAGTCACTTATAGGTAAAGTAGCTCATTTGCATATAAAATCCTTATGAGTAACTTATAAGTCACGTATAAGTTAAATGTATCAGTGAAGTGTAAGTCCAGAATAAACAACTTATAGGGTAAAAGAATAAATCACTTATAAGTCACTTATCAGAAATTTCTGTAAGGGAACCCAGTGGTTCTTGATAAGAAGATGAAAATATAAAAAGTTTACAATGAGAACGACAACGACTGACAAGGCACAAATGATTATAAAAGCTCACTTGAGCCTTTAAAACTTGTTACTATAAATAGAAATGGAAACCCACCTTATAATGTATTTCGGTTACTGCTCTCTTGTACGTGTCGGTTACAGCTAATGAAAAATTGACTGCAATTTTTTATCCCTAATTTGAGAAAATAGAATGATTTTACATTTTCTTGATTAATTGCTGAATGTCTATTTATAACTATACGTTAGTATAGGTACTGGTAGAAATGGAAAAATACCCTTACACATTATTCTTATACATTTTTGCTAACGCTTATTCATACTCGTTAGTCACCTTCCGTCAATAACAAATATCAGCCGTTTGTCTGCACATTGTCCATTCCTGATGTTAGGAAAAATGCAAAAGTCTATATTTTCTCGAGAATTTGCAAACATGTGTTATTGTCTCTTTTCAAACATGTGTTACTATAAACAGAAATGCTTCTCATTCTGTATTTCATTTTTGCTTTCTTTTATATGTTGGTCGCCATATGCCAAGAGCATTTAAAAACATATAGTCTGCAATTGTTCATCCAAAATGTGAGTAAAAAGTACAAAAAACTACATTTTTCTGATATTTTGCAGTACGTCTATTTTTAAACTCATGTTACTATAAATAGAAATAGAAACCACTGCTTCTCATTCTGTATTTGATATACCCCCTGTAATGCTTTCTTTTACTTGTTGGTTACTATATGCCAATAGCAGGTAAAACAAACAGTCAGCAATTATTCATCCAAAAATTTAGAAAAAAGTACAAAAAAATGACATTTTCCCGATATATTGCATCACATCTCTATTTTTAAACTCATGTTACTATAAATAGAAATGGAAACTGTTGATGTATTATGATCGGGCTCGGGATGCTTGTATTTGTTGTTACGTTTAGACGCCATACTTGAATAAACGTGTTCATCTAAGAAGTCATGTTTCATTAATGATTAGCCCTGATAGGCATGTCAACATGGTGGCAGCGGTGCAAACTTGTTGTTAGTGTTACCGGTCGTCCCCGAAAGTGATGCTCCGTGGACTATTGTAAGTTTATAGTGAGAAACTTTGAATTTATTTTTCAACACGTGCTTCGAACAACCGCCATATTGGATCCAGACTCCATTCTCAGTAGCCTGAAATTTTTATTCGGAATGGGTGAACAAGAACAAGCCGCAGGACCTGTACAGGTGTACAATTGTCCGTTCAGATTACCTCCTCAACTTGATTTATCCTCTGGAAATGTATCCGAGAACTACAAAAAGTGGAAAAGACAAGTTGAAGTTTACATGTCTGCGTCAGGAGGAATCGACAAAAGTAAAGAGGTACAAGTAGCAATTATTTTGAGTTGTGGTGGACCTCACGTAGTCGAGATATATGACCAGTTTCAGTGGGAAGACGAATCTCATAAGAATGACCCTGCCAAGTTATATGAGAAGCTACAGGCCTATTGTAATCCTCGTTCCAACGAAGTGTTAGAGTCTCACAGATTCTGGAAGTTACCTTATCAGGAACCCTTTGACAAATTTCTTACAGAATTAAGAACACGTGCAGCATCGTGTAATTTCCAGGAACAGGAGAGGATGATGCGTGACAAGATTGTATTTACAGCTACTGGTAAGCTACAAGAACTACTGTTACGAGAAGACAAATTGACTTTGAACAGAGCAATTCAGATATGTAGGGCTTTTGAACAGTCAAACATACATGTGAAAGAGCTGCGAGAAAACATCACTTCATCTAACAACAGTCAGGGGCATAACTTAAACAAGTTATTTTTAAAATAACTCAAATGAGTTATTTTACATTATTTCATTCACACAATTTTTTTTTTGAAAAATAACTTAAATAAGTTATTTTTATATCCTGCTCGGACATTCATTTCATGAAAATTTTGTGTTTCCTGCCAATTTGCATTGCATTTTGGGATTCCATTATGTAATACTAGATGGAGTTCACCGACTCCAATGGAGAATTGGTGAGGAGGTGGAGATAAACAGCATTTACACCTTATTTTGTGGTTTTATCCACATGGTGTATATGTCCAATTTTTATCATTAAATTAAAAAAATTCCCAACTTTTCCCAAGACTTTGGACACTTTTCCTGCATTGAGCAAGGTTTAGATTTAGTCAAACATTTGTTTTTGTCTTGGTGCACGAGCAAAATCCTTAGGTGCACGGGGTGTGAAGTTAGGGAGGAATGGCATAAAATAACTTAAACAAGTTATTATTTTATTGAGGCTATTTTGGAAAAATAACGTGTTTGAGTTATTAAGGTTGGGAATAAGTAGGTCATAGCAAAGAGAAGTAACTCACTGAGACAAAAAAATAACTCATTTGAGTTATTTTTGAAAATAACTTGTTTAAGTTATGCCCCTGACTGAACAAAGTGAATAAACTATCTACAAACAAACGACAGAAAAACTTCACAAAGCAGAAAGTGACACACAAACAGAAAAGTGATTCACAGCCTTCGAGCAAGGAGAAGAAAGAGTTTGATTCCTGTGGTTATAAACATGAACATGGCAAATCAAATTGTCCAGCATGGGGCAAAAGATGTGACAAGTGCAACGGGAGAAATCATTTTAAGTCCAAATGTAAGAAAATACATGCTGTTGGTGAAGATAGTGAAGACAGTCCAGAGTTAGAAGACAGTTGGCTCCTTGCGTTGAAAAGCAAAGACAAACAGAGCAAAGATATCACTGCGATAATGAATGTAAATGATTGTGACGTACGTTTTCAGTTGGACAGTGCAGCTGACGTAAATACCATTTGTCAGAAATATGTGAAGAAGGAACAGTGTCGTCCGTCAAACATTCGTCTTAACATGTGGAACAACACTCATATGAAACCCCTCGGTGAAGCCGATCTTGATGTAATCAATGTGCGTTCCAACGTCGTCCAGAAACTTAGATTTGTGGTAGTGCAAAACAATCTTACCTGTCTACTTGGCAAGGATGCAATTCAAGACATGGGACTTGTGACAGTGAACAGTGAGAAGTTCATATCTAAAATTGGATTAGAACAGCCTCTTGGTGACTTGGGCATAGCAACTCTGAAAGTTGACCCCAGTATTCAACCCAAAGTACTTCCATGCAGGAAAATACCGATTGCTATCCAGGACTCAGTTAAGCAGGAAATCGACAGACTTGTTGATCGAGGTGTTTTGATACCAATTACAGAACCAACATTGTGGGTTAGTCAGATGGCCGTGGCTCACAAGTCAGATGGAAAGTTGCGAGTTTGTATAGATCCACAACCTCTTAACACAGCTCTGATACGAGAGTACTACAGATTACCTGTATTAGATGACGTACTTCCAAAGCTAACGAATGCTAAGGTATTTAGCAAACTTGACGTTAAAGAAGCGTTTTGGCACGTTCGCCTTGATGAGGAATCGAGCAAACTTACAACTATGATAACGCCATTCGGGAGATACAGGTGGGCTCGTTTACCTTTTGGATTGAAAGTCTCTAGTGAAATCTTCCAGCGACGGTTAGACGAAGCATTATCAGGACTGGAAGGTGTGTTTAGCATTGTCGATGACATTATTATTGCAGGATGTGGTGACAGTGAAGAAGCAGCAAAACGTGACAATGAACTCAAGATGCAGAAAGTTTTCCAGAGATGTGAAGAGAGACATATTACACTAAACAAGGATAAGGAAGAGTCCGGACTTCGTGAAATTTCATTTCATGGACACACAATTTCTAAAGATGGTGTCAAGGTTGATGAAAGTAAAGTGAAAGCTATCCTTGAAATGCCAGCACCGACTGATGTCTCGGGAATCAAACGCTTATGTGGAATGGTTCAATACATGTCAAAATTCCTACCAGACTTGTCGAAGGTATTGGAACCACTACGACTACTTACCCGTAAAGACCAAAAGTGGAACTGGGACAGCAAATGTGAGTCAGCATTTCAGACTTTGAAGCATAAGTTGACAGAAACTCCAGTTCTGGCTTATTTTGATCCTTCAAAGGATGTTACTGTACAAGTCGACAGCAGCAAAGAAGGAATTGGTGCCGTACTACTCCAAGATGGAAAGCCGGTCGAGTACGCATCAAGAGCTCTTACACAAGCAGAGAGAAAATGGGCTCAGATAGAGAAGGAAGCTTTATCCGTTCTCTATGGACTTGAACGCTTTGATCAGTACACTTATGGAAGGAAAGTTTTTATCCATAATGATCACAAACCATTATCTGCTATATTGCGCAAACCATTAGGACTAGCACCTAAAAGACTGCAAGATATTATGATGCGTTACTTCAGATATGATGTAGAATTCGTATTTGAGAAAGGAGTAAACCTTGTTATAGCGGATACGCTAAGCCGAGCTTTTCTCATGACAACGGAAGGAAGTGTAGATGAGCGTCATAGGATTCTATCTGTCTCGACATTACAAGAAAACGACGTACCAGATGTCAGAATTCAAGAAATTAAGGACATGACTGCTAAAGATTCAGAGATGCAAACATTGGCCGACACCATAGCCAATGGATGGCCTGACAGTAAACAAGATCTTCCAACGAGTGTGCGTCATTACTTTGATTTTCGTGACACTCTAAGTTTAGAAGATGGACTCATCTTGAAAGGTGAAGCAGTCGTCATTCCAAAGACACTTAGATCAGAAATGAAGATGCGATTACACAAAGCACATCTAGGATATGACAGTATGATAAGGAGAGCTCGTGGTGTTATTTTTTGGCCTGGGATGAAATCTGACATAAAACAGATTGCAGATTATTGTGGAATTTGTCAGGAAAGAAAACCGAGAAACTGTAAGGAACCTTTAATTCAGCATTCAACATGTGAATTTCCCTGGCAGAAAATTGGACTAGATTTATTTGAGATACAAGGAAAACACTACATGGTCTCGGTAGACTACTTTTCCAGTTTTTAGCTCACCTGAGCCGAAGGCTCAAGTGAGCTTTTCTGATCACATTTTGTCCGTCGTCCGTCCGTCCGTCTGTCTGTCCGTCTGTCTGTCCGTCTGTCTGTCCGTCTGTAAACTTTTCACATTTTCGACTTCTTCTCAAGAACCACTGGGCCAATTTTGACCAAACTTGGTACAAAGCATCCTTGGGTGAAGGGGAATTTAAATTGTTAAAATGAAGGGGCATATCCCCTCGCAAGGGGAGATAATCAAGAAAAGACAAAAATAGGGTTGGGTCATTAAAAAATCTTCTTCTCAAGAACCACTGGGCCAGAAAAGCTGAAACTTATGTGGAAGCATCCTGGGGTAGTGTAGATTCTAAATTGTTCAAATCATGACCCCCGGGGGAAGGGCGGGGCCACAATGGGGAATCAAAGTTTTATATAGAAATATATAGGAAAAATCTTTGAAAATCTTCTTCTCAAGAACCACTGGGCCAGTAAAGCTGAAACTTATGTGGAAGCATCCTGGGGTAGTGTAGATTCTAAATTGTTCAAATCATGACCCCCGGGGAAAGGGCGGGGCCACAATGGGGTATCAAAGTTTTACATAGAAATATATAGGAAAAATCTTTGAAAATCTTCTTCTCAAGAACCACTGGGCAAGTAAAGCTGAAACTTATGTGGAAGCATCCTGGGGTAGTGTAGATTCTAAATTGTTCAAATCATGACCCCGGGGAAAGAGTGGGGCCACAATGGGTAATCAAAGTTTTATATAGAAATATATAGGAAAAATCTTTGAAAATCTTCTTCTCAAGAACCACTGGGCCAGTAAAGCTGAAACTTATATGGAAGCATCCTGGGGTAGTGTAGATTCTACATTGTTCAAATCATGACCCCCGGGGAAAGGGCGGGGCCACAATGGGGTATCAAAGTTTTACATAGAAATATTTAGGAAAAATCTTTGAAAATCTTCTTCTCAAGAACCACTGGGCCAGAAAAGCTGAAACTTATGTGGAAGCATCCTGGTATAATGTAGATTCTAAATTGTAGGAATCATGACCCCCGGGGGAAGGGCAGGGCCATTATAGGGAATCAAAGTTTTACATAGAATTATATAGGAAAAATCTTTGAAAATCTTCTCAGGAACCACTGGGCCAAAAAAGCTGAAACATATGTGCCCATGGAAGGATCATGGGGTAGTGTAGATTTCAAAATGTCTAAATTATGATCAGTGGGGTAGGGTGAGGATGCATTATGTATAACAAGGGTGAAATCTGGTAAAGAACAGAATGGTCAAAGCTTCTCAGGTGAGCGATGTGGCCCATGGGCCTCTTGTATTGAGGTAGATTACCTAGCAACAACGACAAGCACAAGAGTGATTTCATTGCTTAAGAAACAGTTCTCTAGATTTGGCATACCAAACGTTATAATATCGGATGGTGGACCACAATTTAGATGTCAAGAATTTCAGGATTTTGTGAAGACCTGGAAGATCGATCACAAATTCTCATCTCCGATGCATCAGCAAGCAAACGGAAAGGCTGAATCTGCAGTGAAGATCATCAAAACACTGATGATTAAAGCACAGGAGGATGGAACAGACCCGTATGAAGCGTTACTTGAACAACGTTGTACTCCAAGGCAGGATACCGGTCTAAGTCCAGCACAGATGATGTTCAACAGAGAGATACGTGCTACACTCCCTATGAGATCTCGAGTGAGCAATGATTTTGGAATAGTGAAGTCCAAACTCAGATCCAGACAGATTGCCGTGAAGAAATCTTACGATAAGAGAGCACGAAACTTACCTGAAGTCGATATTGGACAGTCCGTTTATTTCCAACACTGGGAAGGACAAAATTGGAAGCTTGGAAAAGTGATTCAAATTCTTGGACAGAGAACATATGTTATTGCGGACCAACAAGGAGTCGAATATCGAAGGAACCGAATTCATATTAGACCAACTAAAATACAGACACATATTCGTGATCAATCTCCAGTTCGTGATGAACCAATCAGCAAACATGTACTCTGTGAATTTCCAAAACCGTTTAGTGGACCAAACGAGTGTATTTCTAGCAAAGAGATACCGGTGATTACAGACTCGAACGAACAACATTGCGTACCAGACTCGATTTCAGAAACTGTCGTCAGCAAGCCTCACAAGGATACTACGCCAGATACTCGTGCAATGCCAATATCGCGTGAACCGTCATCAAGGATCCGTAGGAAACCAGCATACTTGAAAGACTATGTCCAAAATTAATTGAGATACTGTTTAATTTTATTTGATTATTTTGTCAGAAAGTTAGTTAACGGTTAATGATCATTCATTTTGGAAATGTTCAGTTTAATTGTTTATACAATGTACATCTTTCTTAGAAAGGGGGATGTTGATGTATTATGATCGGGCTCGGGATGCTTGTATTTGTTGTTACGTTTAGACGCCATACTTGAATAAACGTGTTCATCTAAGAAGTCATGTTTCATTAATGATTAGCCCTGATAGGCATGTCAACAGAAACCTGTGCTTTTCATTCTGTACTTCATATATGCTTTCTTTTACTAGTTGGTCATTATTTGCCAATAGCAGTTAAAAACATATAGTTTGCAATTTTTCATCCAAAATGTGAGAAAAAAGTAGAAAAAAAAAATACATTTTTCTGATATTTTGCAGTACGTCTATTTTTAAACATATGTTACTATAAATAGAAATGAAACCTCTGCTGCTCAATTTGTATTTGATGTAAGGCTTTCTTTTACTTGTTGGTCACCATATGCCAGTAGCAGTTAAAAACAGATGGTCAGCAATTATTCATCCAAAATTTTAGAAAAAAATACAAAAAACATTTTCCCGATATTTTGCATTACGTCGATTTTTAAACATATGTAACTATAAATAGAAATGGAGACCTCTGCTTATCATGCTGCATTCCATTGAATGTTCTTTTGTTCTTGTCAGTCACATAATATCAGTTATAGTTAATGACAGTAAGTCGGTAAATTTCCCATCTCTAATTTGAGAATTAGTGGAAATCAACATTAAACAGTTAATTTCGTATGTGTCTATTTTTAGACATTTGTACTATTTATAGAGATGAGAGCCTGTCCTCAATAATTTGTGAGATATTATACTATTCCTCGTTCTTATTGATGAAATATTGGAGAGATCCATATTTTTATTATTTATGATTCAGTGGAGCTTCAAAATGATGGAAAATTGACATTTTTCATCATTTTATGAGACATGTCTATATTTAGACATTTGAAGCTATAAATAGAAAACGGAAACCCCTGAAAATAATATGCATGGTAGTTATTGGTGTCCAGTCTCTGACATTAGCATTTTGACTTTTACAGTATATTTCATAATTACTTAGCAATGGCATCTTAAACTCTGCCCAAATTTCATTTTTTAGATTTTTCTGAAATATTTCTATTTTTAGATACATGTTACTAAAAATAGCATTGAGATCCCACTCCAATTTTTTCCTGAGGGGACACTACTAATGCTGACGTTTGACGACACGTATATTTCCGTAGACAATTTTTTTTATTTGACCTTAAATTTCTCAAAAAATGCCAAATTTTCCATTTTTCACATTTTGAGAAACTATGCTATTTTGCAGAAGCGTTTTCTAAGAGTGGGGTCAATTCTGGAATAATTGGTTATATGCCCTGTATTCTTTAACAGTTGATGTTTTCGTATGATACAAAGATTTATATTTGAGTTCACTACATAAAGATAAAAATGCATTCATATTTCCTCAATTTTCATGTTTTTGTTTGGTCAAAAATGGCCGAAAATGGCCAAATTCAATGGATCCGTCTCCATGGCAACCGGGTGCACGTGGGAAACTTTTAACACCATATTTACTGGTTTTGTACCAAGGTGCACCTGTGGTGCAAATTTCATCAGAATCGGAGATATGTCGTTTCCAAGATTTTTTGGTGCTTACAGAGAATGCATGTTAAGGTAGTGATTGTATGGACAGTAAATTTACTAGTCGTCCCAGTGACTTTCACTAATTATTTTTTTCAGTGCAGTTTAACATTATTGAATGAAAAATTAAAGATTAATTAAATTTGTATTTGTGCATACTTTGGTACATCTTCCCGAGTCAAGAGTTTCTGATCCTCTCCGCTCTACGTTTTTATGGAGCGGAGCGGATCAGAAACTCTTGACTTGGGAAGATGCTTTTGGTATATATAATATTTGATAATTTGGCGCCAAATACAAAGATATGAACACTGTGACATTACTTTTGCATCAACCCTCGTATTATAAAAACGATTATAAAAACTGATTGCACGTCTTCCATTTATTTATGCTATTCATGAAAAATCACTTTTAGGAATCTTTTATAGGCAATTATTAATTCAAAATGCAGCAAGAATGAAATCAACAAATACCGTATTCGTGTTTTCAACATTGAGCAATGCGTTATTAGAAAGAAACCGATAATTTTCCTTTTCAGACTTTAATTAACTTGATGGCGGTCTGATGTCGCGTTTTTCTGCTCATTTCTTGAACGGAAACAACTTCTCCGGGAAACATAAAAGAAAAGAAATGAAAAACAAGTCACAAATCATAAACCTGGAGAGAAAAGAGACCAAATCAATATCGAGAAATACAATCAAAAGGGGGTAAAATCTTGTAAAATAACAAACAAAACTAAAGAAGTTAAGAGGACTGTTGAGCAGATTAAAAGGAAATCATGGACTGTTGGGACATATAGATAGCGACTGACGAATCCCTTTAAAAATTTGTCCTGAATGAGCGAGGCGGGGACCTTGATTTCAGCGGAGGTGCAACACTGTGTGTTTCTTCGCGATACGAAGCTTTAAGCCGCGAACAAAAGATTATTGATATATTACAAGATAACGGTCAGAGGAGCAACTATTTAGGCCTGTATGAACAATACCCGACAATTACGCTATGTCAAATCAAACTGAAATGACAATTGACGCACAAATCTCGCGAGAGGTTGTGTATAATGTCTGGGTGATTTTTCCGGCTGGTGACTGATTTATGAAAATATGACGAGAAAATTTTAGACTCCATTAAAAAATATGGATGAAAAGTGCCGTTCCTTTTATTCTGGAAACAGAGAATTACTTATGTTGTTAAAATTGGAGTAAGTTTTTCATGGAGTCAGAGAAAACGGGCGAGGATAGCGGCACGAAGGAAGCAAGCACCGCGGAGGAAGATGCTGATGTGAAGACTTCCGGCGAACATCATTCCACACCGGAAACCTCTGAGAAGAAAAAGAAGGTCGGGAACTACATCCTTGGAAAGACTCTGGGAGAAGGCTCTTTTGCTAAAGTACGCCAGGGCATCCATTTAATCGCCCATGAAAAGGTAGAAGTAAAAACTGAATTCAATTAATATCCTTTTAACAACAAAAATATTTTGAATGCCACAGAGTTGAAAATTTCAAATATTGTCAGATAGGAATATCAATTTTCCTTTTTTTGCTCCCAAAACTTTATATAGAGCAAAAATTAAATGACTGAATACAGATTGTGGACCTAGTTTTAAAAGTTCTTTGTGAATTCTTGAAGACAAGGCGAAAAAGCAACGTAAATAGGTGATGCATTGTAATGAATTTCTAAATACAGCTGAAATATTGAATGACTTGTCTTAATGTGTCCCATACGTTTGTAACATATACAACTATAATTTAAAAAACCAATATCTGGACTGTGTACGAAAATTTGCTGTTGATGAAAATTAAAAGCCCTATATTAAAATTTAAAAGCTGTTAACAAATTCACAGCTTGTCATTTACACGTAGTTTACCATAAAGTTTCTGGCAATAGTAGTTTTGAAAGTCAAAAAAAGTGCCACTATTATTGCTTTGGTCCTGAATCAAGAAGATGCCAAAGAAAATCCCTGCTAGTCTGGTTTAATATTCTTCAACAAATATACATTTATTAGCAGATTTATTTCTCGGCTGATAAAAGATTTGCATGAATTGTACTTTAACATGGAGCTCTCATAAGTCGTATGACCCTTTTCAGAATATAATACAGAGGAGGGCTATATTCATTTTCACACATGCAGACGAGACTTTCTTTCTTTGTTTGTTTGTTTGTTTGTTTTTTTTTTTTGCTTTTCGTTGTACAGTATATGCAAAACACTGAATATAAAGATTCAAATTCAATATCATTTATCAGCCATCAAAACATACTGCCACACAAACTGACAATTTAAACAATATAATGCTTGGACATTTATTAAGTTGTCCATATAAATGACACTTGAAAGAGTCTTCTTTGCGCATTTCTTTTTCTTTTTTGTAGTTTTCTCTCGGTTAAGGTATTTCATTTTATATTTAGGCACTGAAATACATGCATCAAATACAGTTTTCACGCCGTGATGAATCACAAATTATTACGTAAATATTTTTCATATAAATTTTTATCAAGGTTGTAGATTAACCGAGATATTAATCAACCACAGATGTATAGATGTTTTCATTCAATGACTACCCTGCCCCGATGTCTAGGGCAAGGCTAAACGCAAGTGCATTATAGGAATATTAGTTTAAAGTTCCAGATTATGTTTTTAAATTACCTTTATCTAGTAAGAAAGGCGGTCTTGAGTGGACACTTGTTAGAAGATTCCAGTGGCACAAGTTTATCAGTCATTTTATCAGTATTGGTGATTTAAGTTATGAGAAAATTGATCTTGCATTTTTCAATGTGAAGCCACGATTTGTTGTGACAAACACGAGTTTTTAAAACGAATCCCAAACTTGTGCTGTTTTGATCCAGTGGGATTAAGTTCATGTCTACTTCTAAAATGTTTAACACTGGAGAGTCGATGAATCAATATAGCATCTAACAATGTGTGCATTTTTGTTTTTTTTTTAAAACTTTTTAAACAAGTTTGACTTTGCCCCTTTACATAACATGGTTGTCATTCATAAAATATCCACCTAATTACTTCGTTTTTGGATTTTGAAATTTGTCAGAAGTTGGAATGACCAAAAAAAATCTAATTTTTTTCTTATACATGAAAATTGAATTATTAATTAAGCTCTTCTATACCAAGTTTTTTTTTTAAAGTTAGGACACTGTTTACATGTATTCGACTAGAATCGAATCTTACCTACTTTCAAATAATTTCTAATATGATCATAGATATTTAAAATTGAAAGATGCTTGTCTAAATCAATTTTGAAGTACATGCACATACATATTGTATAAGGAACTCTGCAATTTTCTTGCATTGTTTATTTGAGAAATATTGCTGAATCAAATCTCATGAAATCCGCGATTGGGAGGTTTAATTCTTGTAGGGGGGTCATCGTATTCATGCGCCCAAGTTCTTGATGGCGTCTACATGATAACGAAATGTACAACAATTTGATGTATACAGCAAAGGCCATGATTAATAAGATAGTGTTTAATACCACAAAAAGTTTAAATTGCATAATTTTTATCTATCTAATTAATACCAACCATAAAGCTATAGCGGGACCTATATTTTTCAATTTAACACGTTTATAGATAAACCTTGACATGTCCTTAGTATTTTAAAGAATATACGTACATGTCATGTAATTTTTTTGAATTGCATAGTATTAAATAATGTTGGATTTTTCTTTTTAATTTTGATTTTAATATTGAAGAAAATTTAAAAACAATTCTGATTATTCATAAATATGAATAAAAAGTACGAACATTTTGGCTGCTATAAAGTACTCCTGTTATTTTATGTCACATGTGAAACTTTTTTAAAATCTAAAAAATCAGGATAAGCAAAGCCAGTTAAAGAGAATAAAAATATTCACCAATGGACTTTTCATTCCTGTTTAGAATAAAGTGGGGTTTTTCAACTCCAATCGCTCTTGAATCAATTATAATATTTTCTTTTCATACAGTAGCTTAGGTTTATTTGCCCATTTAACTCACAAATGAACAGGGCCATTTATTAAGTCAGTATTAAAATGTTGACATAGAAGAACGTTTTCTGATTTTTGAGATAAAGAGATTTAAGTTAAATTCATGATCATCGAGACAGATTGACATTTTAAATGGAGAAAATTCTTTACATATAGAAATGTAAAGAGATTCTTTTCAGACATGCCCCTTTTAATAAAGTGCAGTCCCAGTCGGTATCTTTTTTGGGTTTCTCAGTATTCTCTCTCTCTCTCTCTCTCTCTCTCTCTCTCTCTCTCTCTATTTTTTGTCAATTATTTTATTTTATTGTTGTACAAATACATAAAAACATCTCTCTCTCTCTCTGAACAAAGTACAAAAAAACTTGAAAAACTTTTGCTTGATTGACTTGTTGATTAAAACGATTTAGACAATCCTTAAAGAATCATCTTATCATAAGCTTTGCTACACTACTGACTAATAATTAAATATTCTTTATAATTATAGTTTTGTTGACAAGAACTACATGCACAATGTATAAAAAAAAATCAACAGAAAAAATCCAGTCTAATAAATAATATAATTCTTTTACAGGTTGCTGTAAAAGTTGTCTCCAAAAAGGCGTTATTGGTTCGTGACTTTGTCCGTAAGAACGTGAGGCGTGAAGCGATCGTGCTACAGAAGCTCTCTCACCCTAACATTGTCAGAATGTACGAAGTCATGGAGACCGAGAATTCTTATTATCTAGTCCTAGAGTACGCCGATTGTGGCGAATTCATCAAATATTTGTCTATAAAGTTAGTATAGAAAATACGATATTGTTCATTCAACATTTGATAGATCTGTTAATTACTATTTGCAATTAATTTTGTCATTATGCTTTTGAAAAAAATATGCCATGAAAATGTTTCCTTTAAAAAAATGTCAGCTTTGTTTATAAGAAGCATATATAAATATATACATATTACATGTATTTGTTAAATGAAGAATTTATAATATTTCAGAAAATGTCTGTCTGAAAATGAATGCAAAAAGTACGCCCGCCAGTTAGTTTCTGCAGTGGATCATATGCATGTCTCTAACATTGTACACAGGTAAAAACTGTCTAATATTGTACACAGGTAAAAACTGTCTAATATTGTACACAGGTAAACACTGTCTAACACTGTACACAGGTAAAAACTGTCTAATATTGTACACAGGTAAACACTGTCTAACACTGTACACAGGTAAAAACTGTCTAACACTGTACACAGGTAAAAACTGTCTAACACTATACACGGGTAAAAACTGTCTAATATTGTACACAGGTAAAAACTGTCTAACATTGTACACAGGTAAAAACTGTCTAACACTGTACACAGGTAAAAACTGTCTAACACTGTACACGGGTAAAAACTGTCTAACACTGTACATGGGTAAAAACTGTCTAATATTGTACACAGGTAAAAACTGTCTAACACTGTACACAGGTAAAAACTGTCTAATATTGTACACAGGTAAAAACTGTCTAACATTGTACACAGGTAAAAACTGTCTAATATTGTACACAGGTAAAAACTGTCTAATATTGTACACAGTTAAAAACTGTCTAACACTGTACACAGGTAAAAACTGTCTTATATTGTACACAGGTAAAAACTGTCTAACACTGTACACAGGTAAAAACTGTCTAATATTGTACACAGGTAAAAACTGTCTAATATTGTACACAGGTAAAAACTGTCTAACATTGTACACTGCTTAATACTGTCTAACATTGTACACAGGTTAATACATGTAAAACATTGTTCACAGGTTTATAATGTTTTACATTGTACAAAGTTAAAAAACTGTTCTCATTGTATTGTCATAAAAAATAAATTATATAACAATATTCTGTACATTGATGCACAAAATTTCATTTAATCTTGTTATAATTACAAAGAAGCCACTTATTAAACACAATCATGTCATTGACAAGAGGCTCATATGTCACAATATCACCATTTAATCTTAATTATTTTTGATACAATTAAAGATATTATACCTTGAGTTATTATCTCTTGTAATCTCATATTAAACATTTTAATCTTTTTTTGTTGCTTTACAGAGATTTGAAGTTGGAAAATTTTCTCCTTGATGCAAATCTGGATATAAAGATAATAGGTGGGTTTTACTACTCTTTAAGATGCATGAATTCCATGAATATTGAGTCACCATGAAAACCTTATCATTCCACATTATATCTATGGAATAAATGTTTTATCTCTTAAACATAAGTACTTGTTTAATTTCCTAATTTTCAGACTTTGGATTAAGTAACGTGTTTTATGGCGACACCTCCCTCTCCACTCAGTGCGGCTCCCCCGCCTACGCCGCCCCGGAAATCCTCAACAACCAGAAATACGGACCGGCCGTGGACATATGGAGCATGTAAGATACCAGACATACTTAGACTAATCAGTAAATAAACCTTAAATACTAAAGGTTAAACATACCCAAAGAAAGGCGCGGAATTAACTGTACAGTTAGTGTTTTTTTTCAAACATTGGTCCTCAATTTTCAATCAAAGATTCGAGAACAGGGAATTTGCGTTGTTTACACTTCAGAGAGTTCTTTTAATACATATACTGGGTAATATGTAGTTCTTTGATTTTGTCAACATTAAAATGGGCTCAATTAATTAAGTCAATAATGAGTGCCATTGCTAAAGCTGTTTATCCTGTGTATGGTTTTTATCAATTTATTATTGGAATTAGTCTTTGAAGCTGTGAGCTTATTCCTACATGTGACGTTTCTATCTTTTTTAGAGGAGTTTGTCTGTTTGCTATGCTTGTGGGTTCACTTCCGTTTATTCCGCAGCCCGCCAACAACATAGCACAGCTCAACTCACTGATCCTAAAAGGATGTGTGATTCCGGAAACGCTGAGCGAAGGTAATGATTTACAATGACTGATAATTATTATGATGGAATATTTATTTACCGGTAAAGCAAATGATAATTGAATTGCTGATTTTGTCAATGTAATGCAAACTTGATTTAATAACGTTTGGAGATTTATTTTACCATAAAAAAGAAAATTAATAAAATTAATAATAAAAAATGAAAATTTGTGTCATGTGCTGAATCTACACTAAGTTTTATGGCTTAGCACTTGAAAAGAAGATTTTAAAAGGTTTCCCTATATATTCCTATGTAAAACTTTTATCGCCATTTGGCCCCACCCTGCCCCTGGGGGTCATGTAATATATATCTTTCCTGGTCAAACTAAACTTTGATTGCCCCACCCTACCCCCGGGGGTCAATTTGATCAAATTCCACATAAGTTTCATCTTTCCTGGCCCAGTGGTTCTTGAGAAGAAGATTTTTAAAGAATATAAAATGTTAAAATTTGATTAGCCATTTTGGCCCCACCCTACCCCCGGGGGTCATGATTTGAACAAATTTTTGGCCCAGTAGTTCTTGAGAAGAAGATTTTTTAAAAATGCCATTAATTTTTCTTATTCATGATTATTCTGAACAAACTTGAATCCCCTTTAACTAAATACTTTGTATAATCTTGAGAAGAAGATGAAAATGAAACAACGACAACAACGACGACAGACGACGGACAAATTTTGATCAGAAAAGCTCACTTGAGCCTTCGGCTCAGGTGAGCTAAAAATGAATTTGTGTCAGTGCTGAAGTTTTAAGTTATTTTGGAATATATAATCGAAAGGTAAACTGATTAAAGTCTCTAAAATCAATTTTAACTTAAGTAAAATCCCTATTACAGTGATTTATTGGTTTAAATCGCATTTGAAATTATAAAATAGTTTTAAGAAAAAGTTGTTAATATTTCTGTAGCTAAAATTCTTACGTGGTTGCTAACAAATCTGATAACACGGTCTTAGGCTGGGTTAGTAAAATATCAATATCGGAAAAAAGTTAGTGTTTATCAAAACACAAACTGGCATTTACAGCGCAAAGAGACAAGAAGTGAAAGGTATGGTATGTACGAGACAAATATTACATCTGTTGACAATTATTTTTTTCGGATCCACAGGATTAATGTACTCCATTCATTTGGCTGAATGGTGACTGAAAGGTCCAAAAAGGTACCAAATGGCTTGAAACTCTGGCTATTCAGTACTTTCAGTCACCATTCAGTAAGGTTAATGACAGAAGATCAACCTATGCTTGGTCCTGATGTAATTATGAACTAATAAATATTTATTTATTTTAGAATGCAGAGATTTACTACAGTCGATGTTAACATCCGATCCCAGACGGAGAATCAAGATGGAGGAAATTTTGCGACATCCATGGCTTGTAGGAGAAAATGAGGAGACCGTTTTTCGACAGTCGGCCATTTCAAATCTTCTTCCGCTAGTTCCTCAGGGATCGGTGATTAATTACATGACAAAGATGTTTGATTTTAAAGAGAGTGAGATTGTGAATGCTCTCGGTGAACGCAAAGTGAATTCTATTGCTGCAACTTACTATCTTTTGAAGAAACGATTCGACTCTGGATTACACTTAGTGAGTTGTCCACAAAACATGAGGAATCATAGACGCGAATCTGCCTTTTCTGCTTTTAGTATTGAATTAAACAACAGAAACACAAAATCATGTCCAACAAAAGATCAGGGTGCTGAAAATGTTGAACCAAAAAGGGTGAATACAGCGGGTGAAATTAAACACAATAACTATAGGAGCTATTTACAATACTTGAAAGTTTCAAGGGAGAGAACAAATGCATTCTCTAAGAACATTTTCCTCCGGCGGCAAAAGACGAGAAACTCACTCACAAGGTCTTACACCAAAGTAGAAAAGAGTGATAACCCTGCCCCGGATCTTATAACGTCTGAATCCACAAAACCTGATTTTAGACTCACCTATACTCCTATTCACGCTGACGCTTTGTTTGAATGGGACAAGGAAGGGTTAATCCGTAGGGAGAACAGAAGAGTTAGACCAAAGCTTCCAGAACCCTTCTCAAAAGAAAAACCTAAGATTCATAACAATAAAAATTTACAAAGCTTACCAATGATGGTAACCGGTGATAAGAAAGGTAGTCATATTAGTCATATTCGTCATTCTGTTTTTTCTCCCCCTCCACCTCCGAATACGTCTCTGGGTATGGGCGATCTTTTAACACCACCCAATACACCACTTGGCCAACGAACTACCATAGGGACAATCATTGATGAAGATTTAGAAAGTCGAACAGACCTTGATATTCCTATAGCCCCAAGAACTGCACCTTCATCGAATTTAAGGACTAACCACTCTTTGTTGAATTCGAAACAAAATTCGGAAATTGAAACTGTCAAATCTATTTCTGACGATGATAAACTAGAAAAGCCAGATCTTGCCCTAGTTTTAGCTGATCCATGTTCCCAAGAAATTTGGGGATCTTTTCACAAACATAAGGCAAAATTAATAAAAAGTGGAGTTATTTCATTGAATAGATCAAAGACTGTGTACGCTAATCCGATCTCTTCACAGAAAATGTTGACCCCTAGAGACCATAAAGCAATAGACGAAGTCCAAAAAGCACAGATAGTGGGGAAAGGTATGTTTATTATATATATTCATTAACACAAATCTTAATCCAAGTTTACAGGTACTACTATCTTGCTGTTATAAACAGAGTTGTACATATGATGCGGCGAGAAAAGTTTAGACAAACCAAGAATAAATTTGAATAAAGAATTGGATTTTGCATACCATTATCTTTATTATACTTATATATACATGCGCAACTCATCTTTTGAATACATGTAAATGCATAACAATTCTCTTTTAACAGGACGTCTTCTTCTTGAACGTAGCTCCACTCGAATAAGCGTTGGTTTCTCGGACTTCCAAAAACAAAGTTCATATCTTCCCGAATATGCCAAACCCAACACTGCTATTGGTGGAAGAAGAGAAGTATTCCCGGAAGTGATAGGCTCTGCAAAATCTCGAGCCCGATCCGATATTATAGACTTCGAAAGAAAAGGTGTTCCAAAGTTACCACAAATGACAATAGAACCAATAAGGCAGGGCACGGAGTCTGAGATCGATATTCCTGACATGCCGCCATCTCCCACTGCATACGAAAGACTGATTGTTGAGGATGAAACTCCAATGATGCGTATCCGAATCACAAGTTCATTGAAGCATTAATCATATACTAGTATTGTTAAAAGATTAAGACTGCATGTGATTTGATTTCATATTTTATGTAATAAAATTCACATTTCATTTGAAAGCATAGCAAGTTTGAACTAGTTAATGAACACTGAACTAGTAAATGATGTCTATTTTGAAGCCACCTTTAGTAAAAAAAAGATGAATATTACGTGTACTTGATTAGAGAATTGTGGTTGAGATTTTTCAATTACTATATGTCAATTCATACCTTCAATCTGAAATGGCATATATATGAGGGTTGTTCCGAAAAATCGTAGTCATTATTTATAACTTTTCAAACAAGCAACCAATACTAACATATAACATATACAACATTTTGCATAGACATAATATATCCAATGTGTTCTTCAAATTTTGAATTCTTAAAGGTAATTGAACACTGATTTGAAGTTAATTTTTTCTCTATAATGTTACGACTTATATATTTAAATAGCATTTCACAAAAAAAAATATTTAAAAATCTTATTTTATTTAAAAGTTATTAAAACTTCAAATTTCTTGGCGGGTTTGATTGACACATCCTTGCAATTTCGCAAATTTTAATTTTACTCTTCATACTAAAGAAAAGTGGCAATTTTGTTGTGTCCGTGCAGTTGTGGTGAGCAGACTTTGACGATTGAACGTACCCGATGAATCGTAAACATCAACAATAACAGAACTCGTGCACTGTTTAAAAATACTGTGTAAATAACACGAGTGTGATCGATTTGCCAACAACACTTAGCTCGGAATGACAATACTTGTGAAAGAGTTTTGCTTTCTAACATTTCTCTGAATAAAATTATTTTTCTGGATTAAAGTTTTAATATTTTTCATTAATACACAACAAGTTTGCCACTTTTCCGAAGGACTAAGAATACAGTTAACATTTGTGAAAGTGCAAGGATGTGTCAATCAAACCCGCCAAAAATTTTGAAGATTTAATAACTTTGAAATAAAAATAGATTTTTAATTAATTTTTATGTGAAGTGCTATTTAAATATATAATTCTTGATATTATACAGAAATCCTTCATTAAACTATGCGTGGATACGTTGTCCTACTTGTTTGCAGGTTTTCTACTACGCCTCCTCTACGTTTAATAACAAGAAATAAAAATTGTACAAACGATTTGCTAAATCATACAAACAATTTTAATAAAAAACGTTACATCGTACAAAGGATTTTATAATATAATAAATATAAATCTTACAAACGTTTTAAAAATCGTTCAAACGTTTTAAAAATCGTTCAAACTATTTGAAAAATCGTACAAACGATTTTTAATTTTTTCCTACATTGTCAATATAGCACGAATACGCCGTCGTATAAAACAGTGAAAGTGAAACAAGAAACAAAATCTTTATGATATGTGAGTATGACCTATTTCCAGGGGCCACAGCGCTCACCTTGAAACTAGCTAGCTAGGTAGGCACACATAACGTATTCCTATGTTAAACTTTGATCCCCCATTGCCACTCCCAACCCCCTAGGGTCATGATTACCCAAATCTACACTCTTAGATATTCCCTCCAATTTTCAATATAACTATAACCAATCATGGCTTCGCTGTCTTTGAGAAAAAGATTTTTCCTATGTACTCCTATGTTAACCTTTAAAACCCCATTATGTTTCACTAAAACTCCATCGGTCATGATTTGAAAAAAATTGAATCTTCACGTTCAGAGGATTTTTCTACGTGAGTTTCAAATTTCATGGTCTAGAGGTTCTTGAGAAGAAGATTTTTAAAGATTTTCCCAATGTATTCCTATGTTAAACGTTTATGCCCTACTGTGGCTCAACACTACCCCCTCGCTTAAAAAAATCCCTCTTCAGATCCATTTGATCAATGAAGAGGCCCATGGGCCACATCGCTCACCTGATTAGCTTTGACCATTCTGTTCTTTACCCGATTTCCCCCTTTTAAACCTATTGTGACCACACCTTACCCGGGTCATAATTTGGATATTTAAAATCTACACAACCCCAGGATGCTTAAAACAAGTTTCAGCTTTTCTGTCCAAGTATTCATGAAAAAAAGATTTTTCCCATTTATTTGAATGTTAAACTTGTGGCCAAGCCCTACCCCTGGTTGTCAGAATTTGAACAATTTAGAACTTACGCTAAACTAAAATACTTCCACATAAGTTTCAGCTTTTCTGGCCCTGTGGTTTCTGAGAAAAAAGATTTTTCCTATAAATTTCCATGTTCAACTTGGATTCCAAATGATTGCCCCGCCCTACCCCAGGGGTCATGATTTGCAAAATTTAGAATCTACACTACCTGAGGATGCTTCCACATAAGTTTTATCTTTCCTGGCCCAGAGGTTCTTGAAATGATTTAAGATTTTAAATTTTTCCCTATATATTTCTATGTAAAATTCTAATTCCCTATTAGAGAACGGACAAAATTTGATCAGAAAAGCTTACTTTAGCCTTTGGCTCAGGTGAGCTAAAATGTTAATGTATTTCTTGAAAAAAAAAATTTTTACGGATTGTCTATTTGCGGAATCTTAACTATGCATATTTTGAAGATGAAAATCGTTATTCCTAATATCATTGCCAGACAAAAGAATATAATTATATTGATTACTAGTATATTTATCGATTTACATCTGCTATCAGATGTCATACATTTCATGCTTCATGTTTTCATTATTTTTAACAATTTTTATTTTCAAGAACAAACTTTTGCTTATGCAATTGAAATTCTTTTTCATATATTCAACTCTAAATCACTACTCTTGTAATCCTTATGTACATTTTTTACTTCGAATTTCGTTTTACGATGTACACGGTATCAAATAAAACACTGAATGAATCCTGGTAACCATTCAGGAATGCATATAATTACAAAGCGGATAAGTGTCTCTTCAGAAAAAAAACATTAGGTGCGTGGGGACGGAGTAGACTCCTCCCTTTGTTCGTACTCAAAGGGTCTTTGAAGGAAAACTTTACAAAAAAGAAAAGTTCTTGTTATCTGATCAGAATTTTTCTCTAACTTTCTAAATAGTTTTCAATAACTATTTTTGTCTTAAAACGACATATAGATCTCATCAACGAAAACTTTACCTGATGTTTGCAAACCTTATGGGTCATATTCAGTTTTGTGGAGGCAGATGCCTTATTGGTTCTGTCCGATATTCTGGTAGCAACACACACTAATAAACACACTAATAAACACACACTTGGGGATAGGCATGCAAGAAAATCACGCTCACATGTTTCACTCGAGATGTTCTACTAACTACTCATGGTAAAGTCGGATTAATCAATATAGTATTTCCTTTGTCTTCAACCAACATCACAAGTCACACATCTCAGATACAGAAGGCAGGAAAAGCCACATTTGATGTCCATATGGCGATAAAAATGTCTTCTTTAAGGCCCCTAGCGTTACTATTCTCACTATGCGCCCAACCGATTTGCGCCATTTTTTAAAACGTTTATGTGTCTTTTACCTCATTATAATTACCTGACAGATAGTCTGGTCTGTTTATGTATTTGTAGATATATACTCTGTAGTTGCGTGATCCAACCCACAGAAGGTGAGTTTTCTCATCATAACTCAGGCTGTATGGTGTGACTATCCCATGTCTTGGTGTCAGTATCTGTGACAGGAAGTTACCGTCACAGTCTAACATCTGAACTGAGCGGGTGTATTCATCACACACCAGGATATGTAACAGTGTGTCTGTACAGATTCCACTTGGATATAGCACTGATTCTGAGGGAGGTCCTTCGTAAGAGAAGCGGTGTCTCCCTCCACGTTTTGTAACCACTACAACTCCACGACCAAAGCCACGCGTACGATTCCAGTCACTCACAATAACATCACCATTGCGGTTTTCTGTGATGAAGCTAGGATAACTATAAATTCCCTGGCCTGTGTTGTTGTGTTGTATTGTCTGTATGCGATGTCCCCTATTATTGTAACGGTTAACCTTGCTTGTATTTCTGTAACCCTGCATCTTATCCAATAGGTCTTTGGTGTTAAACATGCCGATTAGTAGATCTCCATTTAAGGGAGAGCAGTAAACACAGCGTGGTAGCCATGGATTTATTTTCTCTATCAGCGTAGACCTAGATTTGTTAGCTGTTGATAGTTCTTTTATATTATGATTCTTGTCAATATGAATAAGATCACCTATATTGTTCACTGTGTGTACTCCATAAAAACTATCTATATCTGTTAGAGAAAATAACATATCACCTTCAGTGTTTGTCAAGATGAGATTATTTTCATCACTTACCCAAACCCGATCTGATGTCACACGGGATATATGTCTAACATTATTAACATTTCTGACTGTGACAGATTTATGCAACACGGGTAAAGACATCAGTTTTAGCACAGAATCTTTTGTTACTTTTCTTTTTTCCGTTTCGATTACCTGGAGTTCACTTAGTTTTTTAATCATTTTCTCCATGTTTTCGTTCTCAATCAGAGAGCTTACATCATACCGTGCAAGGTAAGGAGTTTCTTTTATTTTAGGACAGATGTTTCTTTTACTTTTAGGACGGATGTTTCTTTTAGAGTGAAGAGGAATATTGTTGGTTTGTTTGCTGACTGTTCAGATCTGTATTCATAGCGCTCAATTTTGGCAAGGTATCTGTTCATTTTTCTAATCTGTTGTTGTTTTTCATTAATAAAACGTTCTTTTCTTATTTTCACATCATATATTACAGTGTCAATGAGCTTCTTCAGTCTCCGGGCTTTTGCTGACATCTCAGACTGGGTGTTGGAGATTTCTGTGTGACAAGTTTTTACATCGGATTTAGTTCTTGAAAGGAGAAAGCAACTGTTATATAGAGTCTCACTACTGATGTTGTGGATGGTTTCTCTGTGTTGTTGACGGTTTATCGTATAAGGTGTTCGTAGGTCCAATATTTTGTGTGTATCGTGATTTATCCGTTGAAGAGAAAAAGGAAACATTTTAGGATTTCTGTGTTCTGTGCATTGAACACAAAAAGGACGTTGGCATGACGGACAATACTTTTCATAGATCATATCTGGATGCCTCTCACAGAATTCTTGCTTTGTAAGGTTTTCATATTTTTCTCGGTAAATCACAAAGTAGTGGGGTTTGGTGTGTAGATCAATAATATGTCTGTCTTTACATTGCAGACACAGGTCAGAATTCTGTTTCTCCCTGACATTGAAAACACCGACATACTTTACACTGGGTGCTTGATCCTGAACCCATGATGCGGAGGGTTTGGGTCTTTTAGAACAATCTCCTTAAAAGAAATTTCGATGAAAATATCTTTAAAATGAAAAACTTCGAGACTCAG